TTTTTTTGAGATGGAGTTTTGCTCTTGTTGCCCAGGCTGGAGTGCAGTGGCGCAATCTCAGCTTACTGCAACCTCCGCCTCTTGGGTTCAAGCCATTCTCCTGCCTCAGTCTCCCAAGTAGCTGAGATTACAGGCAAGCACCACCAAGCCTGGCTAATTTTGTATTTTTATTAGAGATGGGGTTTCACCATGTTGATCAGGCTGGTCTCAAACTCCTGACATCAAGTGAGCCACAGCGACTAGCCTCATCCTTTCTTAACCCACAGCTCCACCTTTTGGGTTGTCCCTGTGGTGAGAGGCTTTAGGGAGGTATATGAGTGTTTCCTGAGCCCTAAACTTGGTAATGGCAGAAGATAATTTAGGGACTCAGGCAGCTCTGGTCTGTTTCCCAAAAGGCCCTTAAGGCAGAACTTAAGTACAGTCCTGCAAAGACACCGCATCAGCATTGGCACCCCAGAAAGGTCACACTGGACAGATAATAATGCTGAAACCCTACTATGGCTCTCCCTATTCCCCATTGCTTTGGGATGCAGGGTGTCCAGTGGCTGATTTGCAAGGGTCCTGTGACTCTCAGAGTAAGTACCCTTCTTCTCTTCTTCATGCTCCTAGGTACTAGACAGCCTGCTGGCTCAGTATGGTACAGTGGAGAACTGTGAGCAAGGTAAGAGTGGGCCGGGCATGGGGTGGTGCTCATGGTGGGGGCTGGAGGAGTTCGGTGTGTCTGCTCTGTTTCTCTTTCCATGAGCGAATCTACATTGCAAACCAAAAGAAGAAAGATAGAATGTGTTACCCAGTGAGTTACATTGGATTGGGGGCCTGGACTCCTGGCCTCGGCCTTGGGTCTTGGTTATCTGTGGAACTGGGTTTCTTTTCTGTTTAGCAGAAAGCTTGAACAAAGCCACTCCTTCCCCACATGGAGACTCCAGGCTCTTAGGGATCAACCAAAGTAGAAATGGCTATTCTAGGATTTTAGAAATAGTCTTAGAACAGAAATCTTGCATTCAACCTGAGTTCCTCAGCAGCCATTTTACTTTAAAAGCTTCATGTTTTCTTGTTTTTGGCTGGAATAATCAACTGATTGTCTGTTTTTAGAAGGTCCGATTGGTAGCAACATATGTCTTTGGTCAATTAAAATAAAAGGCAGAGGATTTATGACTTAGTTAATATACTTAGTTTGCTAGGTAAGCAAAATCTTTTGAAGAGTAGGCCTACAGAAGGAAAAATGATAAAGAATTCTAGGTCATAAAAAGTTTACCAGCTGGGTGCAGTGACTCACACCTGTAATCCCAGCACTTTGGGAGGCCAAGGTGGGAGGGTCTCTTGAGCCCAAGAGTTTGAGACTAGCTTGGGAAACAATGAGACTCCATGTCTACAAAAAATTAGCTGGGGGTGGTGCATACCTGTAGTCGCAGTCACTATGGAGGCTGAGGCAAGAGGATTGCTTGAGCCCTGGAGGTCAAGGCTGCAGTGAGTTGTGATTGTGTCACTGCACTCCAGCCTGGGTGACAGCAAGACCCTCTCTTGTCTCGAAAACAAAACAAAACAAGTTTTGTCCATTTAGTAATGGAAAAAAGTTTCTCCATTACAAGGGTTATAAGTTCTTTTCTAAGGAAATGATTTTAAATAAAATGAAGTGATTTTGGTTGGACATAAGGTAGTTTTTAGGTAGATAAGATACTGGGTTAGGTTTGGAGATCTTCAAGAAACAAATAGATCATCACTTGGTTTGAGATTTAAATGTTCCTCTGCAAATTATTTGTGGAAAGGGGCAAGCTATAAATGATTACAAATGATGAAAATCTTTACCCACCCAAGAGTAAACTGCTAAATCTATCAAACAGGTTCTAACCTGCTCTAATCCTGTAGCTTGCCTTTTATCTTAAATGCCAGGATACAACAGGACTCACTGATAACTACTGCCCAGTACTGTTCACAGTTTAGACTAATGAATAAATTACTCCTGGACAAATAGAGAGTAAGATTGAGCAGTGGCTTGGGAGCAAGTGCATGGTGAGTTCACTAAGAGGCGTATAAGGAGTCAACACTAGTTTAAATTTATCCAAGGCTCACCAGGGAGTGGTATCTGGAAAGGATATCTGCTACCTGGAGAGAACAGTATGGGAAATGTTTGACTTTGTTAGACAATAGAGAAAGTCCTTGAGTCTGCTCAAAAGTCACTTTCTGAATGAGGTCCATTCTTTTCACCCATCCCATCTTCTTTCATCTGATTTATATTTCTCTATAGCAGTCAACACTGTCAAATATTCTATAGAATTTGCTTATTTATTATGCTTATTGTTGTTTCTCTCCATAAGCTCCACGAAGGCAGAGGTTTTGTTGGTTTACTAGTGTATTTCCAGTCACTGGAAGATTGTTCTTGCAGAAGCTTCCTTACCACTGAGGAGGGAGAGACCTACTGATAAAGGCCAAAGCAGTTAAGAGTGGTCTGGGGCCAAGTGTGGTGGCTCATGCTTGTAATCCCAGCACTTTGGGATGCTGAGATGGGAGGAATAGCATTAGCCCAGGAGTTAAAGTCTGCAGTGAACTCTCATCACGCCACTGTACTCCAGCTTGGATGACAGATTCTTTGAACTGAAGTTTGTGGCCAAGTGCCTTATCTGTCCTCAGTGTTGTGGGGGCAGAGGCTTGACTTAAGTCAGGGTCCCCCACCCCATGGTTGAGCAAGTCCGGGGACCCAAATTCACAAGACATTGATACAGGAGAAAGGTTAACTTTATTTATTTTAGAGACCAAGTCCAGCTCTGTCTCCTAGGCTAGAATACAGTGTGATCATAGCTCACTGTAGTCTCAAACTTCTAGGCTCAAGTGATCTCCTGCTGCTTCAGCCTCCCAAGTAGCTAGGACTACAGGTGTATACTACCACACCTGGGTGACTTTTTAAATTTTTGTAGAGACAGAGTCTCCCTGTGTTGCCAGGCTGGTCCCAAATTCCTGACCTCAAGTGATTCTCCCACCTCAGAAGGTTAATTTTAATAATTGTAAGTGAGAAATATGTGTTCAGACTACTTGGGATTCTAATGTCAGCTTGCCAAACCATTCTAGTTAGAGCCAAGAACTTTGATGGGATCAATGGCTAGCATCCTGAGGCTACAATGGCCACATCCAAGACAGGAAATCTTTTCCCCTGGAAAACATGCAAATTCTTTTATTTTCTTTCTAGACTTCTACAGCCACTCCTGTCAGTCCATTTAGCTGGATTTTTTTTTTTTTTTTT